AGCTGACCAAGGATGAACAGGGAGAACTGTAAATGCAACAAATTACAGGAAATTGGTTGGCAGCTTAAGATATCTAGTACATACAAGACCTGATTTGAATTTCAGCATTGGTGTTGTGAGCAGGTATATGCAGAACCCGAAGCAAAGCCATTATGTAGCCATAAATCATATCCTAAGATATGTGAAAGGAACAACAGGGTATGATCTAATGTATCGCAGAGGAGGCAATGGTATGTTAGTAGGGTACAGTGACAACAGCTACAGTGATGATCGGGAAGATGGAAGAGGAACCACAGGTGTGGCATATTACTTCTCAGGAAATCTAATAACATGGGCCTCACAAAAGCAACAAACTGTTGCTCTAAGCTCGTGTGAGGCGGAATGCATGGCTGCAACTGCAGCTGCCTGTCAAGGGTTGTGGCTGAGAAATCTATTCAGTGACCTTGTTGGAAAGAAAGCACAAAGGGTGAAGTATTGGTAGATAATCAATCAGCTATTGCCCATATAAAGAACCCAGTTTTCCATGGGAGGAGTAAGCACATAGACACTAAATATCACTTCATTCGTATGTGTGTTGAAAGAGAGCAAATTCAGGTGGAGCATGTGAGTGGAGATCAAAAAAAGGCGGATGTGTTGACAAAAGCAATGCCAAGAATCAAGTTCGCTGAAATGAGGGCACTCATAGGTGTGGAATGTCTGAAGATGAAGGTCAACATTGAGGTGGAGAAATGATAGTCAAAGTTGACCCAGTATTTAGGAGAATAAGAGGGCACGTGGGTCACCTGCCCAGTAAAAGATCCGTTGCTAGTTTTTCTGCTTTCAGTTGTAGTTTTAGACTATTTAAGTTACTTTGTTTTAGCCATTTCTGTGAGTAATTTTTGTAACAGCTTTCAGCCACTTAATAAAGCTTTAAGCATTCGGCTACTTTATACTCTTATACCCCTGTCAAAGTTTCACTGTTAGATTAGCCCTGATCACCAACACATTTTTGGTCTTTCCATGATTTATATGAGTGCCAAAATGGGTTTATATGGTGATCTAATAACATCTGCTCATACAATATTAACGTATAGTATTGTTAAGGGTTGGAACTTAATATTTTTGATGCAGAATAATGTTAAGAAGTGTAGAAAATGTAGTATTCTGCAAAGTAAGAATTGATGAAAGTGTAGATAACAGAAGTACAGGGAGTGCATGCAGCTAGTTTATTATGAAGATAGAAAACATGCAAAGCTTGGCTGGTTCGGGTTTGCATGGGTAATATCTGGACTTGACCCACATATTGACCTGGTCTATATTTGTTATTGTAGTAAGTTTTCTTTTCAATCATAAAGCTTAAACAAAATTTCATATAGAAGTATGGTGGAATACCACCCTCAAAAGTAGCATATCAAAATAGAAAAGAGGGATGTGGCTTAAGATGACTTGTGAGTTCCAACTCACTTGTGTGTCAAAGGTGAGCTCAAGTTCACTAGTCAGTTTAGTCAGGTTGTAGCTTCAACATGAGTCTGACTTTGGTCATTTTGAAAATACTGATTTGGGGCTGACTTTTGTCAAATTAAATTTAAATATAATGACCGGGTAACTACATGTAATGGCTTTTAAATTTCGAAAATTTTGTTTTTGTCATCCTTATCCATTTTTTGTATAGTGTCAGTATAGCTATTTGCAATACACCACCTTTTGGAACTCTTAAGATTTCGAACAATTTAATACAAACATGATACTTTGCTTATTGTTCTTGACTTCTTGTGCTTGAGATTCTAAGCGTCTTATTATGAGATTATCCCGATTAATGATTTGTGGATTTTTAAGACAAGTAAATAATCAAAACAAAATAAAGAAACAAATGAAACTAGTATTATTGAAGTAAATAAATGAAATTAGATACAAAACAAGATAGCGTACTTGAATTGTAGATTACAAACACAAAATATGCATATTAAGGTCTGCCAAAAGTAGTGTCCTAAGAAATAAATTGTTCGTCTATATTCTTTCCTTGAAGATACAACAACCTATTCAAGATGTAATCTTAAATCTTATATAAATGTATATACATCAATATTATTCTCAAACATTGCTATCACTGCTGTAGATACATATATCAACAAAAAGATAAGGATAACATGATCATATGGAGTACTAAATTACGCTCCCTGCAGTTGCCATTGATACAAGTTAGAAGCCAAACCTTCGGTCCTAGCACGACAGAGAGCTTTGGAGAGGATTTAGTTTGAGATTTCTATATCGATCAAATCCTGCAAAGAACACCATCTTAGGCATAGGAATATCTAGGAAAATAAGCTCATCAGCCAATGTTCTTGATCTGAAAAGATTGATTTATTTGAGGAATTAAATCAAACATGTGGTGTGCGACATGAATCCATCTTTCAAATGATCAAAACACATTAAGAACTTTAGAATCCGTCTTTGAAACAATAGAAGAAATGACTTTAACACAATCGAGGGCACCATTCTTAACTTTAGATTAAATTCATTATGCATCCAAACCTTAACCCGACTCCTTAAGTTTTAGATTAAATCCATCTAATTGGAGTTCAAAATTTCGAAAAATAGATGATTAATCAAATCAGTTTGATAGCGAGATTATGTGCTTCTGTGTTTGTGAATGTGGACAGAAAGGAACGAAGAAGATGAAGAAGGCTTTTTCAAAAAATATATATATTGAAGGAGAAATCACTAATGATATAAGAGGTGATACTTAATTTGTCCTACTTCTTGATCATGATACATAATCACCATAAGAAAGAAGAAAGGGGCATGGGGGCACTTCTCTGTGTAGCACGTACTACTCGTTGCTCCATGGACCATGCTCCTTCATGCAGTCTTGCTTTATTTAGACCGGACGGAATCATCGCGGGAAGGGGGAGCGGGACGATTCCCGCACGACGGAACACCGGACCGTCGGTGCGGGAAACGGTGGTGTGGGAACGGGAGAGGGGAGTGTTTGCCGCGTTCTCTCTCCGTCGATTATTGGGCTAATTTTTTTTTTGAAGTAGCCGTTGTTAATGGTTAAACTTTTTTTTTTTTTTTTTTTTTTACAAACGGCTATATGCATTAAAAGTGATTTTTTTTTATCTTTTTAAACATCTACAAATACTCAACTATTTACCTTCAATCAACATTCAAAACAACCCCTCTACTCCCTCTATTTTCTTCAAAAAAAAAAAATGAATCCCGACAATCAAACCCCAACTTCCGATCGAAGGAAAAAAAGTCATGGTTCGAGTTTAAGCACCCCTACTCGAAACATTTTTGCTATCGATTCATCATCACAAGGAGATTATCGTCCCCAACTCGATGCTCCCATTAAATCTCCAATTTCAATACCAAAATGTTAGACAATATTACCTGATCCAAGTTCCAAATGTTACTCCGCAAATGTTTTCAAACTTTG